TTCTCCATCAAAAGATTTTTATTTAACAATTTAATACTATTTAAATTATAAAATAATAAATTATTTTATTATTTATTTTTAATAATGAATTTTTCGTTATATTTCTTTTCCTTAAAAGTAAAAAATCTATCCTAACAACCTACGAAATGAGTTAAAAAAAAACTAATTTCATTTAATCTTGCCCTGGGCATTAGTTTTCTGCGAAAAGAAAGGATTGTGTTTGGAGAAATGTGAGTGGAAGATAATGAAAAGGGCAGTATCATGTGGTCCCCATTAAATTAGAACAAGTGAAAAAAAAAATTATATTAAAAATTGACCGACGGCATATAACGATAAAAATAAACGGCTCAAGCAACGCCGTCCAAATAAGGACGGCATTGAATGGAAAAAAGGTAAGTAGAGTGATGACGTTGATTAGTGTTGGTCAAGTAGAGGGATGACAATGAACAAGTCCTTAATAGAGGGATGGGTATGAACAAAAACTGAAAGTAAAGGGATGACAGTTGGCTTTAACCCAGTGATTTATGTGAGGGACTTCAACTCTTTTATGAATGAATGCATCTCCTCTTTCAAACAACATTCAATGAGTGAGGATTAATTGTTGTTTGCTAGATCATTTGTTCCTTCCTAGAGTTGGCATAGCAATGGAATTATTTAATAACTTAAGACGCTTACAATTATAATCTTTTTACTTAAATAATTTTATTATTATCTTTATGGTGATCTCTTAAATTTTTTATAATAGTCACACTCCTTGCATTTAACTATTTAGATCCATCATGGATGTATTTTTAATTGCTTATGCTGTAGTGCAGCTTCTCCTTCGGCTTTGCCAACGTGGCTATGAGTACAAGAATTTCCTATGTACTCTATTTTTCCTATTAATGATCGAATTATATGAATTAGACATATTTCTTACTCCCCCTGTTTCATGATGTCCATCTTTCTTAACTTCGCATACGGATTAAAAATAATTATTGGTAAGATGGAAAGGAGAGAAAAATATTATTGTTTTTTTTTTTTTATGAATAAAAATGTATTATAAACTATGAGTACAAGGGGTACTCACCCATTACATTAAGATAAGTGCTGTGTCATGTTAAAAATGAGTAGTACATAATTTTGGGAATTGACACCAGTCACTAAAACAAAAAGCAGCAGGTTTCAATTTACCTTTTATCCAAGCAAATGTTTTGGTCTTTACTAGCTCGATTAAATTGTCCTCATCCCATTCAAGTTTATTGAAAGCAATTCCATTTCTAAAATATTAGATGGCCCAAGCAGTAGTAAATATGGAGAGGACCCAACAATCTTTAACATCTTGAGGGACTGGCAGTGAGCAAAGCTGAGTAAGCAGATCGAGGGCCTTGTCAGGAAAAACAAGAGAAAAACCCCACCAACAACATATGCGGCTCCAAATGCTTTGGGAGTAAATGCATGTGGCAAAAATATGATTTGCATCCTTTAAATAACCATTACATAGCACACAACCAGATCTAGATGCTAAGTCAATACCACGTTGGATGAGATTGTCCTTTGTGGGAAGGCGATTTAATAGAAGACGCCAAGAGAAGACACTGACTTTTGTGGGTATAAGATGACTCCATATTAACTTGCAGTAGAATATATCCAGACAAGGGGGAGACATGTCAAGAAAAAGATATGCCATTTTTGTAGTATAACCAGCAGGGCAGTGCTTCCATATAAATTGATCTGATTTTCCTATAGAGATGCTGACATTTTGTAGGATTTCTTCGAAGATTTGAAGCTCATCTAGTTCTCTTCCAAAAGGGGGTCTGCGCCATTGGAGAATCCATCCCTCACCCTTGGTTGGTTTTAGATAAGCCACCAATAAGTTCTCGCCAAGAGTGAGCTTGAATAGTCGAGGGAAAACAAGCATTAGTGGAGAAGTTTCCACCGAAGCATCTTTCCAAAATCTGGTTCCGTATCCATCACCAAGCTGACGAGAGAAACCTTCAGAGAAGCACTTGGTATTTCTTTCACAATCCCTGCTAATAGATAAAATATCCTTCCAAATTGCAGATATTTTTGAAGATGTAGTGTTGAGATTGAAACAGTTGAAGTGCCACTATAGTACTTGCTAATAGTTATCTTCTTCCACAATTTCTCATTTTCAGCATCATCATAAAACTTATCCCACCAGTTTCTTAAAAGGGCAATATTTTTAATAGCAAGGTTTGGGATGCCAAGGCCACCCTTATTTTTTGCTAGACATACCCTTTCCCAGTTTACCCATGCAATCTTCTTAGACTCGTCTGAGGTCCCCCATAAGAAGTTTTTTTGTGTTCTAATGAGCTCTTTTAAGATGCCTTTTGGAACTTTAAAGATAGAGAAGTAGAATAGAGGTAGAGTAGAAAGTACCGACGTGAGAAGTGTGATGCGGCCATCGATTGAAAGAAGCTTTCCTTTCCAAGATGCCAATTTTGATCGGAACTTTTCAATCACTGGCTTCCAAAAAGAATGACGGTGAGGATTTCCTCCAACAGGTTGCCCCAGGTAAATGAAGGGAGTTTTACCAGCTTTGCAGTTTAAGGCAGAGGCAGCCATGCTGATCCAAGTCTCATCCACATTGATCCCGATTAGTACACTTTTATTAAAATTTATTTTGAGGTCCAACATAATTTCAAACCATCTCAGGGGCATACTTAATGGCCAAGATGGAATTTATAGAGGCCTCACAAATTAGAGCAATGTCATCAGCAAACTGGAGGTGAGAAATAAAAGTTTTATCATCAATCACCACTCCCTTAAAGACGTCTTTTTTTCCTGCTTCAAGGAGAAGAGCATGAAAACCTTCAGCAACAATAAGGAATAAATAGGGAGAAAAGGGGTCTCCTTATCTCAAACCTCTCTGCATATTGAATTCCTCGATTGGGCTACCGTTGACAAGAATTAAGATGGAAGCAGACCCTAAGCACTCTTTAATCTAGCTTCGCCATTTCTCACCAAAACCCAAAAAGGAAAGCATTTTATCAAGATATCCCCAATCCACAGAATCAAATGCTTTTTCAAAATCAGCTTTGAATATAATTGTTGATGAGCTTTAGTTACAATGTTGTAATAAATAAATAAAAATATTAATACACTTCCAAAAACTAAAAGCAATAATTAATTTCATCTGCAACAAATTTTTATAGGTCAACTGTTAGATGCATTTAATATTTTGATAATAATTAACATTTGAATCATGTTACTATCATATTAAAAATTCTCATTCTCTTACTCCTAAATTGTGCCTATTCAAAAAATAATAATAATAACTTCACCTAAAATCTAATAGTAAGGTATATATTGTGAATATATATATATAACAAAGGTTATGATTGCACTGAATTACTCCTTATTAAAAAAATTTAAAGAAAATTTATGTATATATTTATAAAAAATAAAAAGAAATTTTTTATGATCTAATGAATAATTAAAATAAAGAAATAATAATAAGATTAAAATAAAAAATTATTTAAAAGAAAAACAATCAATTTAAAATAAATTCAAAATTAAAAGACAATAGTATTTTTGAGACGAAAAGAGTACATGGCATACTTCAATGGATGAAAAATTGAAAATATATAAATCTTAAATATAGGAATTGGATCCTCCAATTTAGTAACTGAAATTTTCTACGCAAATGTATTCTAAATTTCAAAACATGCTCCATGTAACTTCTTGGCAGGATCAATGTGATTAAAACTCCTCATGAAAGGGGAGGACAACACAAAAAAAAATTTATTTTATAATTTAAATTGCATTAAATTATAAATTATAAAATAAAAATTATTAAATAATAAACACTACTCAAATTAAATAACCCACAATATCTAATGATTTGAATTATATAATTTATTAAAATTTAAACTACATTACACTTCTTTAAAATGCAAGTGTAGTAATCTGATCATAAAACTAAAGTGTTGTTATTGCCAAGTAGGTAGAAAAAGGTTAGGGCCACATAAATTGAGGTGTCTTTCGATTTTTTTAAACAATCAATTATAATATTTAAAAATATTTATTTATAAATTAATTTTAAGATATTGATTATTAAATTTCAGCTATTTTATTAGTAGTAATTAATCAATATAATTATTAATTATTTTTAATAATTAAATAAACAAAATTATTACTTATAATAACAGTATTACAAATTTTGTGTGGTCATCATATTAATTTTTGTGTGCAACTAAGGCCATGTCCGTAATTTTCTTTTTCTTGTTTTTTTTCTTGGAAAACTAGTGTGTGTTTGGCCAACCTGTAAAAGGTTGGAAAAGACAGGCATTGGGATTTGAAATGAGAAGGTCTCACTGCGCGATTGATTGTGAGGAACAGGCGCTTTCAATACGGCCTTCAGTTCATGTTCATCATTGTTAGCCGGCCCACGAGAGAAAATTTTTTTTTAAAAAATCAACTATTTTCAAAATTTGTGCAACACGGTGATTTCTGTAGTTTTGAGGTCCAGTTGACGATACTTCCAACAATCTCAGCAAATTCAGTTTTGTTCCCAATGAGATTCTCACTAATTCGGGATCATGTGCCGTTTTAAGTAGTACTAATGGCTATTGTAAATGTCAATTTGAGCATTGTTTTATGAATTTTTCTAATTTCTCCCTTAAAAATATAAATTAAATACATAATAAATATATATTTTTATAATTAATTTATATTAAAATTTATAAAAATTGACATATATTTTAACATTATTAATATAT